TTAGCAGAGTCCTGGTGGGTGAGCRATGGTTAAAAAGGCAGGTAGTGATGGCCTTGCCAAATGTCTGTCTTTTAGTCTGACAAATGCCTCCCAAGTACAATGAAAAAGTATTTGGAGAGTTACAATAAWGCAAAACATAAAGATAAAGCTCTTCAGTGTGGTATTATTGTGAACTAAAGCTTAGATTAAAATGAATTACACTTCCTCAAAACTAACCTGTAGTTTCAATGAACAGAAGGCCTTGGTTTTGATTTGCTCTTGTAATCCCCTGAAGCTGTGGTTTCTGCCAAGTGCTCTGAGAGCACAAAGCTCCTGAGGAGCTTCCAGTTTCTGTACGGAAGAATAAAGATTTCCCCTTTCCCCCTAACCCCCAAGAAAAATGAGACTAAAATCAATCTAAAACTGAAAATCAACATAAAATTATCTACATGGAGGCTGTGGATTGAAAAGGGGTAAAGATGGGAAAGGTTAATGATAAAAATGATTGAGGGAGACCTTCGCATTAAATCAAAATTGATCCCTTTGCTAAATTTAGCCCTGGACTTGACCAGTGGTTTAGCCCTAAAGGTTTTAACTGCACATAACAGCCTGGTTTAAACAATTTAACAAAAGATTCTRTAAGACARCAGTAACTTGCTTATAGGCCTAMGTTAGTTGTTAATTTGAAGTACTGGAGAATCTAAGAGAGGAATATTCATTGCCCAATTGCTGTAGCATATTCACACTCACACAGATGTAAAGCAGTTTGTGGAGGGTGAAAAATACTCCTCGAGTTCAGTGAAGTACTCCCATGGGATGCCTTTTCATCTTCTCAGCAGGCCAAGGRTTGAGCCTTGAGGAGTGGGGCACCAACCTGGGATCCCTCACTGGCATTCAGCAGTGATCWTCCAAGGACAGTGAACTTGGGAGTTTGCCTACTCCAAGAGGTGTCCCACTCAGAGGGACGTTCTCTGGTTTTAAAATGCAATAAACKGTGAATCATTCTTCTCACAGGTTTTGGTTTTTTGTTTGTTTTGTTTTGTTTTGTTTTTTTTCAGGAGTTTATTTTGAAAAGGTATTAAAGAGTTCAGATACTTCCTTRTGGGTGAGGAACATTCAGCTGTACTTATCTGGAATTGTGGTGAATTTATTTGTTGTGTACATGTCAGATGGAGCCCAAGTCCTTGAGAAAGGGTTTTTCCATGGCTACACATACTACGTGTGGTTTGTTGTCTGTAAGTATCATGTGGTTTTAGTCTTTTGACATTTTCTTCTTTAAGAATGATATAACTATTGCAGGAAACTACAAGTTCAGTYTGACGCCCTCTCTTTCTATGTGTTTTGAGGAGTTTTACTTAAAAGTATAATTTTCTTGGAAATTATTCACTTATTTAAAATWGTGCTGAAACAGCAGCCTAAATAACTGATTAGCCATAAGATCATCTTTAAATGAGTYATTTTTACTGGATGTCACCTAGACATCCAATTCCCATTCTACTGAAAGATACGTTTAATCACTAGTTAGGACAATGTAGCCCAAACTAGGAGCACACCAATGGTGTGAAATGCGTCATTTCAAGAGTAACCTACTGCACCTGAGCTAATGGTAACACCTTATCTGTTCCCAGTTCTTGCCAGCGTAGGTGGCATCTACACCTCTGTGGTTGTTAAGTACACAGATAACATCATGAAAGGCTTTTCTGCAGCGGCRGCCATTGTTCTCTCTACTGTAGCATCAGTCATCCTCTTTGGCCTCCAGATAAGTAAGTGTCTTTTTGCCTTTGATTTGATTTGATGGCTGTGCATGTTTCCTGCCTGCCCAGCCTGCTGTATGCAGCTCACATGAAAGCCACCAGTTATGCCCCCTCTCAGTTTTTCTGGTTTTAGCTTCAAGTCTTCAGTATTCCTGTGCACTAACACATCATCGTCCCTGTTGTGGTGCACAAAGTGCCTGATGACTGTGCTTTCAAAGGCATCAGTCGTTTTTCTTTCAGAGACATTTACAACTTGAAATAGAAAGGTTCTTTCTGATTTAAACAGCTTTATTTTCATGCATCGCTTTCTGATGCAGTTTAGTGTGTGATAGCAGCTGTTTACCTGGGACTGCTGATGATTGGTTATTATTTCTTGTTGGGTTTAGTACAGCCAGTGCCAAATTAATTCCTCAGGTCTTTGTTCAAGGGCTTTACGTTTCTGTTAAGTTACACCCACTAGTACATTAACTTTTACCTTCCCCATCTGYTGTGGACACCACCATGTGAGAAAGTCAAAGAGCAGCTGGGGTTGTGACTGACTGATGTGGTGAATGTTTTTGAGAGGAAACAGCAGATTGCTCTGGGCTGTTCTGCAACTACAGAGGATTTTCTCCCCAGTCAATCTGTGTCTGATACTGTGCCCAGGACTCCTGCTGTTTAGTTGTGGGTAGTTTCCTACCTTAATCCAAAGATGGTGTGGCAAAATGGTGAGAAAACTAGTTTTTGATGTAGTATTAGTGAGACAAAACTCAAGCAAAGTTTGCATAAGGAGAAAATAATCAGTGTTTGGCTGAAAAAGAGCACCATAAAGCAACGGATTAAAAAAGAAAAAAACCCACTTAATTGTAAAAACTTACTTGGGCACAGCATTTTCTTGGCAGTTGACACAAATGAAACCTGGGCTAATGAACTTTCTGTGAAAGCCTCATTAACAGAGTTTCTTAACCCTTTCTAGACATGGAAAGGCAAAAAAGATGTRTTATCACAGGCTACTTTATCACATCCACTGGCTTTTTATCATTAATTTTATTGTAATATAAGCCTGTCCAGATGGCACCTGGGACTGCAGGAGATGCTTCACTCTTGCTTTTATGACCACCACCAGCACATTCTTGCTGCTGTGACTAATTGTGATGGTGTGGGGATTGTAAACACTCAAGAGTTCCCAGTGGCAGTGGATGAAGTGATGCTGTGACTTACCAATAGCTTGCTGTCCTGTTTAGTTTTGGGTAACTTCAATACTCTCATTCCGAATTCATCATAACTTACACAGCTTTCTGAAGGTTTCTTCTTATATGAATGTGTTTATTTAAACTATTTTGTCTCCTTTCAGCTGTTACCTTCTCCCTGGGTGCTCTCCTGGTGTGTATTTCTATTTACCTGTATGGATTACCTCGACAAGACACCACAAAAATCCAGCCCTCAGAGACTAAGAGCTCAAAAGAGAGACTTGCTACTGTGTGATGTTGTCCATAAAAATGGACAAATGGACAAAAACAGACTTAAAAAGACTTTTTTTTTTTTTCAAAATTAGCCTTAAGCTAGTCATGAATGGTTTAAGTGGGACAGACTAAAAGCAGAAGTTAGTTTTGTTTTACATGTGGAGTTTCCAGTGGCTGCCACTGAGGCTACACTGCAGCCAAGGAGCTGGCTGGGTATTTTATGGAAGGTATTCTTCATTCACATCAACAATGAAGAGTCTCATTTACAAGGAAAACACAATGAAGGAACTGATCACTCAATTGTATATAATGTATATAATGGAGGSAAATTGGTTCTTTGTGTATTTGATAAACTGTCTTGCTCTTTGAGGGCAGAAATGCCTGAAAGCTTCATAAAAAAACTATTAAAAAAAAGCGACTACTGTCAGCATTTCCTCTTCAAATATTTGACAGTTGCAGTTTGATTGATGACAGGAAGTTTCTCTTCTAGGCAATAGGTATGAGATGACACARCTCTACTGGGAATACCCCTGCTTTGAGCATCACCCACCTCACGYGTGGTGATTAGAGATAGCCCTTGCTGTTTGGTTTAAGAAGTCAGATGAAAGACTCTGAAGTTGTGGATTTCCTTTTACTCTTCAAATGTTTTTTTATCCCTGCTGTAGATGGTAGAAGGACCTTCTATGTGTAATACAGGGGAAGGTTTCTATTTGTTCCTGTTACCTCTGGCTTAAGGATGAATGAGTCAACGCAGAGTGACGAGTTTTTTCTCTTTAATCCTCTCTGTGCACACAGTGTGATGCTTGCAAAAGGATTTTCTAATGCATGTTGGTCTTTAATTTATTAGTGCCAACTGTGTGATTTCAACCTCCTTCCTCATCTTCTGAGGCCTTCCGGAAATTTTAACTCTGAGGGAAAAGTGACCCTGATGCATTTGGGCAGCTTGTTGACATTAAGAGTGGAGTTGAAATGTGACCAAGTTCATACTCTTGGCCACATTCCTTCAGACATGAATTAAGSAGCTGGGTTTTATTGCAAGTGGGGCATGTTAAACACACCAGTAACGAACATACTTAAATGGGTGAGGAACATCCAGTGGGAGAGGATGTTCCCCTCTGCCTTTGGCASACTGCTCTGTGTATCAGRGCAGCCMCCAGTGTCRCTTGTGGGAGTCAATGCTTCCRTGGTGGAGGGTATTCCAGCCACCCRCAGGACCTCAYKGGAGCTGCTCCACCTCTGTYCAGSACCATCAGGCTCAGGGGTGCCAAGCAACAGCTGCCACGTCTGCCTGTGTGYACAGTGCTGAGGGAACACTGCGCTTCCTGTTCTTCTAGCTCACCATCACGTCAGTGGGACAGAGGAAGGGCTGAGGAACAGGGTGTGACAGGTGACAGTTGGGCTTGGCTAAAGTTTCTGAAGGAGGAATGTAGCACAACATACAGGAAAAGGTCTCTGCATGGTTTAACTCAGTTTGTTATACAGACAGCACCTGGAGCCATTGTGCCATTAGGCCTTGGTACACAGTGGCAACCGCAGAAGTGGAGAACTTTGCTTAGGGCTGCACAGTTCACACCACTTCCTTTACGAAAAGGATGTTATAATTTACATGGAAAATACACAGCAGTTCTCTTTCATGGGAAATACCAGGTAGAATAGTGTCTTAACTACACTGCTGCCACCAAATGTCTGAAGAAAGTGATTGTGACAACCTCGACCCCTTGTAAAGGGCTGTGCCACACCTGCTCTTCTGCAGTTGGTATGATGGAGAACACAAATGTCCCAGTACAGATGGAGTATCCAGCCTGCAGCAGCAGTGTCACACAGGAGAGGATTCATATTATTGTGGAAAAAATAATTTTACTAAGAGATGTGACATTTACACATTGTATATGACACATTGTATATGTACATTACATTTGATTTACAGGTGTAATGCCAAGAAGTTTCATTCCATTGGCTAGAACTGAGCGTGCAGCYTGGAAGAGACACAGCCGTGCCTGGAAAAGAAGACAAAAGGTCATTTTAGGGTAGTGCTACAGAATAGGATGTGATTCTTGGGACAGCAGTTARAAGACCGTGTGCAGCCTCTGTCCCTGTGCAGTCCCGGCCCTCACACCGGGATTCAGATCTACCCAGAGTACTGAGAAACACRCCAACGATGTCAGAATTCACACTGGCTGCTGGCAGCCCATTGCACTGTCAACAGASGGACACTTTGTCAAACAAAGGAAGCTGGAGAGGAAGGTCCAGCCTACCCCTCAGGGCAGAGTAAGCAGACATGCCTGTAGAAGAGCAAGCAATGACTAAAAGCTAAAAATCTTTCATGCACCACGGGCTAGTACAGCCTGAGGACACTGCTGGAACCCCTCCCCTCCTCCCCTCGCTGTGCTTGGGTGACAGGCTGTCAAGCAACTATGGGCTGCTTTGAAAATTTCACTCTCTTGTCGATGCCGTTACACAGCTGGCTGTTTGGGAAGGGCTCTTATCAAGCTTACTCAAAAAATCKTATTTCTTGAAAGCTGTCACATTGCAAGATATTTAGAAATATTTTTATTTACAGGATAAGGAACTGAAGTTTTCCTTGAAGTTTGACATAGTTATCTCCAAAGGCACAAATGCCTACAGCATCTAAACTCAAATACAGACTGCAGCTCCACCAATTCCACTAAATATTTTTCCCCCACAGCACAGCTCAACACTTAAATGTGATTTCCTACCAAAATTCAAATAGGTAATTCCTCCTGAAATAGACGAAAGAAAATAATAGAGGCAGTGTAATTAATATATCACTCACTGAGTAGTTAGGGGGTCAATCATTGCCTGGGAGATCAGTAAAAAGAATGTGCATTTATTTGAAATGGCACATTAACAAGTTGTCAGYCTCTGCTTTAGCTAGAAAGGCAATACGACAACTTGGGATATGTGGGTGGCAAGAGGGAGGAGACTGATTCAATTCATTCCTAATTCTCAATCTTCCCACATAACCACTAAAGGGAACCATCAAAAAATCAACCAGCAAGTTAAATGCCCAAATGTTTACTCTTGAAACATTCAGAAGGAAAGGTGATTAGAAGGTGTTGGAGCAGCTGTCCTTAGGGAGCGTTGTGTTTTGGGAGGATCAAGCAGAGCAGCCCTTTCCAGAAGACACAGCCATGAACAGCAATCCCCGCCATCCTAAAGTGGTACCGTCCCCGGGCGAGCCTGGCTGTTGGCTCCACCGCCTGCGGGTGCCAATTTCCCCAAGCAGTGACACAGCTGAGCTGGCAAAGCCCTGATGGATCCGCCCCGGGCCACCCTCCAGGCTCCAGCCCCCAGCCCTGCTGCCATACCTGTGCCACCTCGGGGGCGCTGCCTTTCACGGGAAGGGTTCTGTGTGCCACGGCCACCAGGTGGCTGGAAGGGAAAACAGAGTGGTGAGAAGGAGGCAGGCGCTTGACAAGAGCAGCGCTGTGGGCTACGGAAAGCAGCAGAACTGGAAGAGCCACCCACAATTGCAGCATGCCAATGGCTTATTTCCAACAGCCTCTTCACCTGGCTAGGGGAGGGCACGGTTTTCTGTAGCCTGCGTGGTGTCAGGGCATGYCATCAACAACTTAATGCTCCTAAAATAACCCAAAATAATCACTACATGCTCACCCTCCGGCCCCTACCCCTCCACACCCTCCCAAAAAAACCCCATTCTCAAGACTGCTCTGGGAAGATCCTTCAGAGCCTACCCTATCATTCCCAAGATTCATTATTCTTTACACARTTTTCCTTAACTTGTTAAAGCCTTCCCTGTACACAGGCTCGACAGCTTCCTCCACCAAGCCCCCTCCAGCACTTCACGATGCTGTCCTATCCCTATGGGAATCAAATACACAGTGTGACTTACCCTAATAACAAGCTTTGTTCATGGGCTGAGATAGTGGTTAATAGCAGTTTGGATAAAGTTTCCTACCTCAAATGTTGATATTGAGAGGATGTTATCAGATCAAATCTGCTCTTTAAGACACTGTGAGTCTAGCATGATTTTGGGTTCAGACACTGGGTTACAGCCAAGTGATTCTTTTTTCTTAAAAGCTGTTAGTATCTGAGGAGGCTCCTGGCTCCAGCCTTTATCYCTACTATTTATTACATTATTCACTATCCTCCTTTATGTATTTCCTGCTTCACAGAAACTGTCCCACAAATCTGCATCTTTCCAGTGCAGATGTGAGGGCTGCAGAGCTAGCTCAGGAAGACCTGTCCTCACTGGAGACACCGCCAGTATCAGCAAACACCTCACCTCAGTGTGAGGAGGTAGCTGACAATGTGCTTGGGTTGCAGATCCTGAGAAGATCTATACAGGACCTCGTCGTACCTGTGAAGGAAGAAAAGGATTGTTTGGTGCTGAAGTGGTACAAGGTGTACTCAGAAGGCTCATCAGGCTTGCTTAAGTCAGAACAAGCACACAACCACAGCTGTGGAATTAGCGAAACTAATCTTCTGAAGCAGGTCTAAGCCATGTCATTAGCACACAACTGATTATTCCTTCCTTGCTCACTTATTATCAGAGATTGCTTCTGCTCCTCTTCGTGCAAACAGCTCAGAGAGGCAGGCTRTAATAGCTAAGAGAACACAAGAGAACACAAGAGCTATATTTGCTCCTGGAACATTATGTCTGGTTTTACATTCAACACTAATTGTAAGTTTCTGGGAGCAAAAAATGTGTTAAATAACCAAAGAATTCAAAATAGTCCCTTAGAGGACATTGCCTTCAGTAAATGCAGCTTAAAAATTTTAAGTAGCTAAAAGGAATCTTGCAACATTAGAAAAAGACAAATCCTGGAATACAGAATCACACAGAATGGGTCAAGSTGGAAGGGACCACGGTGGGTGATCTGGTYCAATCTCCCTGCTCAAGCAGGGTCATCCTCCATAACTTACACAGTGCAGTCGGCTTCGTAAGAGTATTAAACTGGGTAGTACAGGCACGTTCATGAGATCTATTTTTTTTCTTCATGTGTTTTGCTTTCCTTTTACACAGCCTGCAAGAAGGTACCAACACCTCTGGGGCTGAAGAGATTTCAAATTCAAAGTAGGAAGCGGACTTCCTGATCTCTGCCCAGCTCCCCAACCCATCCCTGCCAGCCCATCCAAGCTGAACTGTCGAGGAATATTTCTCTCTTAAACACAAGCTGCAGAACTAGGGAGTGCACTCTGATAATGAGGGCTCAGCAGTCATGTAAAAAAGTATAAAAAAATCCCAGAAAACAACTCACATGTTTTCTGTTAAATACCATGGCACTGGATAAATAAAACACRTCTGGTGTTACTGAGAGCTGGCTGGTCCTGCTGTTGCTCAAGAGAGTGTGCAGCAMATGATGGACTGCAGGCCGACCTCTGGAGGCAATTACAGCCTACATGTGCAGGTCAAAGGAGCCACCTGCTGCACAGGCATGACTKTGGGAAGTCCTAATTTTAAACAGATGGCCTCAGGAAGGTCTTAGTGTGGTCAAAAGAGTTAACCTGYTGACACTGCACAGTGTGCAATGCAGTATACAGGAATTTTCACTAGAGTTCTGAAAGTTTCAGTCACTTCCGACTCCATGACAGGCTGTGCAATACGTTGTCTTATTGTTAAATTAAACATCTATGAAATAATGAAAGCAGCAACTGCTCAAYTTTAAGGCTGAATTAATGAAGAACATTACTGCTATTAACAGGTAACAGTTGAGGACATTCTGTACTTCTGAAGGATAMTGAGCTACTGAATGTGCATGCACATACTCCATTTACCTCACCTCTCTCTTCTCACATGACAAAAACTGAACATGAGGGAACAAGTCAATCTGCAGCTAATATTTATACAGAGCTTAGCACACTTTTGTGAAGACAAGAAATAATTGAGGGGCTCATGTACACAGTATGTTCCAAATACTGCTTTTTCCATCATATGGCTTCTGAAGCCACAAAAATGTCAAGTGAGGGTTACTGTTGGAATCCATGTGGCACAACAGACAAGTCATTGCCTCAAACTGCCCTTTTTTCTTATGATCATGCAGTCTGTGCCCTCTCAACCGTTACTGGCATACCCAGATACTTGTTTTAAGAGAACTGGTATTTGGAAGGAAAACCAGACAAACCTGAGAAGATGCTGAAGGACAGAGATGGCATCTGGCTCTTGCAAGCATGCCACGTTAACATCAGCTAGCTCTGCATTCCCATGAATCTGCTCTAAACTAAAATGTAAGAAWGAAAAACAAATGTCAGATAAAAAACTCTTAGCAATGCTGAAAAAAAGAACCAGTAATTCGTGCTTTTAAGAAAACAGCTCCTTCTGCTCAAGCTGAATGGAACACTGAGACAGACAAGCTGACAGAAAGCGTGMAGGCCATTCAGTATCAATAGTACTATTGTCCATCTGCATGGACAATAGGTCCAGAAGCTAAAARCACTAGGATCAATCCCTTCTAATGGTACCCTGGCACCACCAATATCCAATGATAAGGGAGTACAAGGGGAACAACCCAGAGAAAGGCATCAGCCTTCCTTGCACATTCTCCCTGAACACCATGTCCTGCTGCCATTGCCTCAGAATACCAGGCTGCTAYGCACCTTTGGCCTGCCCCAGGTAGGAATCTTACATGAAAACACATATTGAAGTCTGCTTTGGCAGTTCAATAAAATTGATAAAAMTGTTCAAACTGGACTCCTTGAAAGGCTTTTTAAAAAATGATTAAATGTGTCAGGTGTTTGACCTGAGTCAACAGGAAGGGATCTGCTTTTAATCTTAGCTATCAACAGTGGGAAACAACAATGTTAAAAATAATCAACTGGTTACTGTGGTAACCAGAATGTCCCAAGTTCTGTGATGTGGTGTATTTTATGAGTATGGGTGTTTTGGTTTTTACGTCAGTTTCCTTAATTCTAGGCTATCATTCCCCATCACTGACACCAACCACAGAGAGGCTGTTCCTAGAACTGAGAAAGTACATGAACAGTTAGCTCATGGAAATGAGGTAGAAAAATTAATGTTAATTGGCCTGCTCTTCTGGGAAGTCTCAATGATTTCTATCTTAAACTCACACCTCTGCTGAAAAAGTGTTTACATATTTAAGGAGTTAGCACTATTACTTAGCAAAGCAATAAATTAATAAGSTTAAAATTCTGTCAAAATACTGTGCAGAAATGCTCCTCTTACCTATGGAGTCTGGCATGGGTGTACTGAAGGAACACACCTGTATCTCCCCGGCTTTGGAGAGCTCGATCCCAGCTAAACTGATAATCAGATGACAGAAGGCCCCGGAAGTCCTGGAACAATAAACTGATGTCACCCAGACATGGCTCTTCATCTCAACTTGTAACTTCTCACAGATGATGCAAACACCTCGTGAGGTTGCTCAGACTCACCTGAATTATGAGTGCTGCAAGACCAACCTTCTCTGCTGTCTCCACAGGATCATTTATYTCTTTGGTTGCTGAAGAGAAACAGAAAAAACGTCGTTAAATCTGCAGTACCATAATGACTCTCTTGCTCAGACTTGGAGATGCCAATAGAAGAGCAGGTCTTCCATAACTGTAAACCAGCAAAGTGGAAATTGTCAGGAGCATGCAGCAAGGAGTCCAGGATATAAATCTCTCCTAAAAATTGGGGTACAGCTGTTTCACATGGGCTTTTCCCCACTTCCCCTACTATGTGTAGCACAGATTTTGAGGTGAGGAGGGTTCATTATATCAGGCGATACTGAATGCCTTTTCACAATTCCGAAGCCAATCTCCAACATCAGGGAAATGAAGATTTTGTTGAAAAACTGATTAAAATCTCCAAGTGATAMAAGATGCATTAAAAAAAAAAAAGTTGTTCAAATGGCTAATGGACCATTTGGATGTGTATTTAGGGAGTATTCACACCATCCACTCTAGGTATTTAAACTGACTATATTCAGAAAATCTGAACAGAGAGAATCGTAGAATGCTTTGGTTTGGAAGGGACCTTTAAAGATCTTYCAGTCCAAACCTCCTGCCACATGCAGGGACACCACCTCACCTATTTCACAAGGAAAATTATCTGTTTAAAAAAAGCTGAGGAGGCAGAGCAAGGAGATGCACAATACTTCAGCTGATCAGATCACTGATTCAATCCAGCACCTTACTCCAGAGAGCACGAGAGGGGGCAGCATTTCACTGGGAACTGCTTGAATCTGTATTGCAGCAGGAGGAAATGATCCTGGAGCCACAGCCCGAGCGAGGTGCTGGCAARCCCCTCCTTCTGCACAATCTGGGGCAGAGCAGTGACCTCCTGGGCACTCGGGAACTGCTATGAGGYTGGTAGGGTGACAATGCAGTTGTGTCAGGCAAGCGAGGGTCACTCTTGCCAGAGAAAATTGTCAGAGCTATAAATCCTTTGGATGAAATCTGACTGATCCCTGAACTCCAGTCCCAACCCCACTGCTGACTAGTGTGCCCCTCCAAAAAAAGTGATTGTTGTCCCCAAAGGCAGGCACTTCCTTGCCAGTGCGTGATGAAATAATTTCACTGGATGTTAGAATTTGCAAATCTGTAGTTTAGGGGAGTTCACAGAGTTGCAAAGAATTATTTAATATTTAATGACATATAAAAACTTAATATATTAAAATAAAATACAAAATTATATTGTTTCTGTGAAAAAAAGAATTGTGTATATTATGGGAAGTACAAAAAGACAGAAAAAGGACACATCACTGTGATTAATGCGATGCAGGGAGAAGTGAAGGGTGGAAAAGATRACACAATTTGATTAACACAGAACATCAAAAGGAACTAATAAGACCTGAAATSGCTAACTTTTTGTGGAAGTCATGTTTTGTAACATCCTTGAGCGAACTTCATTTAAAACATCTTCCAGAAAAACTACTTCTCCTCTCCGAGTCTTCATGCCTTGAACGAGCCCAAAAGACACATGCTGGCACCTGTGTTGAGAAGCAGCAGGACCAAAATTACGTTTCAATCAAGAGAAATGTTTGCAGTGTTTGCTCAGAGCTGGGTTCTCTATCAGGAAACAGCAATAACAGCTGAATAAATAACACTCCAACGTGGGAAGCTTGGTGATATAATCACTAACTCTTGTTTCAGCAACCAAGCTCCATACTTATTATATAATGGGAAAATTATGATCAGAATTATGATAGCCTGGTCATTTGTGCACTCTCAGGAACCTCTCTTGCTACTAGCTTTAGTACAGAAGCCTCAATGCAATAATTTTCAATAAATTGAGGAGAGGCAGGATGCAGACAGATCAAATTACTGTGGCAACAGAGATCTTTTAATATAATTAGAAAAGGAGTCATAATAATTCTATTGTGGCCACATTAAACTAAAAGTATAATTAATCACTGCTAATAATAAAGTATTCATTTTTTCTGCTCGAATAATCCCAGGCATTATTCCTGATCCAGAATCTAAGGTAATTTTAGCACAACTTTAAGCACTGTGAAAGGAGGCAGGCTGGTATTCCTGAAGGCTAAAACACTGTATCTAACTACAAAAGGTATGCAGTCTGGCAGAGGAATATGATTTAGTCTGCAGATCCATTACTGACCTTTGCTCAGATTGCTAACAAGATTGGTAATTACAATGAATAACAGCAGGGATACACTTCCCTGCAAAAGATACTTCAAGCTTGAAGCATGATCCAAACTCAGATTCAGATCTCTCTAAAATAAAATACTTCAAGAAGTAATAATTTAGTATGTGACCACACAATATCCCAGAAGCTATGCCACAATGTCTCTTAAAAATTGTTTCCCTTTTTCACATCAAACAGTTATGGAAAACCTGTTAAATGACAGACAGAGCCATTTTTCACATCCTAAAYACATGGCAAAGACTCCATTCACAAATAAATCAGAACACCAGGAGAGTGTACACAGAATGAAAAGGTTGCTATTGCAGACCTGAGGCCCACAYTGCACATAATTYTGAGGGTTTATTTCTCTGTTGGACTAGCATTAGTCAGGTCCTACAGGCCATATGTCTGCTGGCACTCTGGAGTTCATTATTTGCACACCAGCTTCACATCTTGTAGCTTAGTTTTATCCAAAATGCCAACATGATGTGTATAGCATGGTGGTGGATGGATGCTATCAGGACATTCTCCTCAAAAGAGCACTCCACTGAAATTCCAATGTACATATTATACATTCTTGGGGGGAAAAAATTAACCACCAAACCCAGTATATAGTTAGGATTTGTAAGTACATACCTTTCTGCCCAGTCATAACCCATGAGCTTCAGTATTTGGAATAAATGTTGAAAGTGATTACTTTGACTTTTATCTGTCTAAGGAACAGAATTGAAGCATATCAGAAAACACAAGTCTGATAAGGAGTAGCTTTTAACACACCAACACACAGTGCCACAGTGCCAGTAAGTCATTGGAAGCAAAAAAAAAAGACCTACGAGGACAAGCAATACTTGAAAATTGTGACGGCTGGAATCTATGGCAATGGGATTTTGAGTCATGTTAGAAAAAGAAATCTACCTTTTCAGAAATGATTACTCTCAGATCATGAAGGCAAAGTGAAAGGCAACCTTGATGTTCTTTAGTTTCCCATGATCTGTGAGCTGCCCATCAAACAAAACATCACCATTTTCACTTCAGAACCTTGCTGCTCTTGTTATACCCTTGTGTTACATCACCAAACCCCAAGGGCCCTTTGGCTTAGAAATCACACACCTCTTTAAGCTGTCTGCCTCCTGAACCCACGAGTTCCTATTGTCTCAGAGTGATTCGTACTCTTACATCATAAGGCAGGTACATAATYAAATAAAAAGGTATAAATGATCACAACTTCATAACAATGACACATTTTGTGCTCTCTTCCACTTTCAGTTACACTCTGCTATGAATTGAAGTTATTTTTGACCATATGTTATGTCTAACCACAATCTTCATATTGTTCTAGCTACAGCTATTGCTGTGAAGTTCATTTTCCTACCTACTTGTTTTGACTGCTTTGCTCAAACTAATTTTTACCCCTCCTTAAAAAACACTGCCGAGATAACCAAATAATCACTATTTCCTCATTTGTTAGGTGTCCTGGGACAGGGAGTGAGCAATGCTTATCTTGTGATCCTTCTCATCTGCACAACTCCATCAAGTATGTGCCTCCTCTCTCCTAGTTCCTCATAACCTGCTCAGCTCCTGGGAGTCACCTCTCTGGGCTGACTCACAGGCAAGGCTGATAAATGSACAGCATGGCCAGTGCTTCAAACAAGGCCTTCCAAGCCCTTTTYCATGCACTTTAAATATGAGGTGTATCTCTGCACAGAGCCAGACCTCTCACTAAATGGCTGGCTTTAAAGGAGAAGTCTGCAGTCTGACAGCATGGATTGTATTTAATTCTTCACGTATAAAAGCAYTTTCATCTCCTTTTTGAGTGCAACATTCAATGGAATCTTAGTACCTCTTTAATACACATTTTAAAATGTTTTGAATGTTTTGTTCCTATCACTGCCTTTTTATTAAATAAGTATGATTTTTTTAACATCTACATTGGGGAATGCACTAATTTACAGCATTACAACCAGTAAACCAACTYAATGCTCTTTTAAACAAGTTGATCTGAGGAAAGTAAGATGATCTTACGAAATAAAACTCAAGAGTCTCTAAATAATTTTCTTGCAACAAGATTAGGATTCTGAAATACATTTGTATTTAATTATCAAAGACTAAAATCATTAGCATTCTCATTTAAACCCATGAAGTCCTTCTGTCTCTGGTAACACTGAGAAAAGTCCTAACTCACTACAAAGCAGTGCCACAAAACAGCAGCAAAGGTCAGCAAGGCTGGAAGGTCCCTCATCAGGCTGTCTGTCCCACAAGAGTCTCTGAAGAGTTTGTTTCACCCTTTTATTTCATGACCCACTTTCTCAGCCCTCAGGTAGTCAGAAATTACAAAAATACTAACCATCTCCACTGGAAACTATACAACCTGAGCAAGGCTGAGAGGACAGGACAGGCTAATCTGTCATTTCCATCTTGAATGAGACATTTGCAATAATGGACACATCAATCACATCACAGTCTGGCTGTGCTGTGTATCTCTTTGAACTTGGAGGAGACCAGGGAGACATTAAAATTCCTTTGATTTTAAGGAATGGAACAGTGACTGGAGTTCAGCTACAGCAGCAGTCAGCTCAAGACTATTGCTCCTGTGCTTGCTCACTCCATRAGCTGAGCATTCAGCTGACACCCTGATTTGTACAAAGTGGACACCCAACTACTCTTTTTATCTAATTGTTCCTTCTGCCTTGGTCCCTGCTACCTCCTGGTATAACAAACACAATTAATTGCCTACCCACATGAACTAGACAGGAAACATTAATGCATTGCACCCTCACAGCCACACTGCCCTTTGATGCCAATTGTTCCAGCCAGCAGGGGCAGAGAAACTCCCACCAAAACCAAACAATTTCCCCCCAAAATAATCAAAAGGTCTCTGTTCTATGACAATGTGTAAGAATGGCAAGCTATGGGAAAGTTCCTGAAGACTGAAGCTAAAAGGAGGAGTGTGGCTTAACTATAAGTTGCACTTTAAATTGTGTATTTCATATTTGGCTTACTGATCTCTCCCCCTGCATCTTGTTAAATGTCACATTATATTGAATTTTGAAAAAGCTGTACCACTGAAGGTACAAGGACATTACCAAACACATCATGACCACATACACATTTTTTCCACATGTTATTAATTCTGGATTTCACAAAGAAGAACATGGCTTTCATAATTTTTTTTTCCTAAATCTGATTAAAAGCATCACATGATATCTCCTTGTTAATATGAGATCAAAAAAACAGGTTCAGACAAGTGAGGAGATAATCCTGCTATTCATATCCATTAGTGATATTGCTGGAATTGTGAAAAACAAAATCATGAAACCAATAAATGTAAAAAGATTCCATGTCTGCAACTGCTTTGTTCAGATTGATTAAATAGTACATTATGTGCAATTTCTACATAACTAAACTAAGGCATTGTTCAAAGCCATAAAAATGTACATTTCAGATAAGATATCAGGACTTCAGAGTAGACTTAGATTCATTTTAGACCATTAATTTCTAAATTAACATTTTAAAAAGCCTTTATAATACTAACAGCTTTYTCTCATTTTTTAAATTATTAATGACATTTATATGAAAATACAATGTCAAATCAAGTAAAAGTTCCTTTCAAACTAATTACATTGAATTTTCACAATGGAGACTAACAGCAGAGCTAATTTTCATAAAAATATAGAAAGGCTTGGGTTGGACAGGACCTTAAAGATCATCTTGTTCCAATCCTTCTGCCATGGGAGAGGATATCTTCCACAGACCAAGTTGCTCAGAGAACCATTCAGCCTGGCCTTGAACACTTCSAGAGATGGGCATCCACAGCTTCTCTGAGCAACCTGTTCCTGTGCCTCAGCACCCTCACACKGAAGAATTMTTTCCTAATATCTAATCTAAACCCACTTTCTTTCAATTTAAAGCCATTTTTCACCATTCTGGGGTCATGCACTGAAACAGAACCAGGAAACACTTCCACACAGAGGCACAGCTGCTGGGCAGTAAGGGCATCTATTTTACTGCCAAAAATACTGTGTGTCAAAGTCATATTGCGAGCCAGAGGCCCCTGGGCTAGTGGGGAGAATCAGCACAGAAGTGTGTGCTGAATCTAGAATTACTTACCACATAAATCATGCTATCACAGCTGTGCTTRTTCATTCTGTCTATAGCAGCCGCCAGATCTCTGAAAGAGATAAGAGAAACTATTTTGATTTTCACTCAAATGTACSTGGCTGTTTGCCTCTGAGAAAAATAGCCTGCTTTTAATGTATATTACATAAATTATTAAATAATATATATATCACATGCATAATACAAGCATATATCATAATATATATCACATACACATATGTATCTATGCAAACACGCCTATTTCTTCACAGTAATAGATACTCATCCTAATCAGCCAGAGGGGAACAAAATGCCMAATGTGCTGAGTGGTTTTGTCTCTGTGTGTGGGCCTACTGAGAACAGGTGCCCAACCCTACTCCTGGCYCACCTGCTGGCATGGAGCTGTGGCATCTTTGTCTCTACTTGGCTACAGGACTCAGCAGCTYCCCAATGTGCAGGATTGACTGYAGCATCTCTCTAATACCCCTGCCCYGAAAAACTGCACAGAGTTTACCCTGAGGGCTAGGCACTAGATTTATTTACATTCCTGGCATAAAGAAACTGTTAAGGCTTCCATATTAAAATACCCAAGAGGAATTTTAGGATACTGATGAGATGGCAGGAAAACMGCAATAAAATTGATGCTACAGTGCTGGTGGTCCACTGAGTCAATGAAGACATGGCTGAACAAGCAATTCTTTTCTGCATCACACTGCCAATAAACATTTTAAGCAAAGGTCTTTCTAAAACCCTCATTATTTGGCAAATATTTATTAGATGCAGAGATGCCAGCTTTGTTTTCAAAGTCAGCAGCTGGAGAAAGTATTAYGATTTATGCAAAGAAGAGATTTACTAACAGATTGATTAAGGGGAGGAAAAGTATTTAAAAGCCATTGTTTYTCCAACCATTTTCATTCCATTGTAGTTAACACTGCTTGTTTCACTTACAATTATTTGATAGTGAAGGTGTTTCAGCCTAGAAATAAAATGCTTCAAAATCTAWCTTATCAGTTACAAATGTGCTCATGTTCACGAATCCACTGGCAAAATGACTGGCAATGAACACAGCAGGGCTTACTTGCCTTGTTATATAAAGAGATGTCCCATCACTGCGCATGACAGTGGAAACTGTTGAGAGGTCCTTCTTCACTGAGAGATCCACAATTCCTGTCCCTTTTCTGAAAGTTGAGGAAAAATACTGATGTCACTGCAAGCTATTACACAGGTAAATTCAGATAAACTGAGGTCAGAGCCAAAACAAAGGCCYCTTCCACAAATGCCCTTCACTCCAGACAGTCATATTCTTTTTCTTTGAATGACCAGCTCCTTTAAAGTCTTTTTGAAGACTATTCCTGTAAGTTTGCTGTCACCACTGCTGATGCCAGAGAGCAGCAGCCCACATTGTGGTGTATTCCACGATTACAGCTTCCATCCCAGTTCAGCCAGGCATCTCCTTCATCAAGGCAAGGATCTCATCTAATCCTGCTCATTAAATGGCATATGCAGCTTCCAAACTAATCAACTGCCTAAAACACCATTAGGAGTCGAACACTGTCATTGTACCCGATTTGTCATGGCCAGGCTTCTGTCTAGTCACAGAATAAGGAAAATGTAATTTTTAGCTGTGACTGCACAAATCCTGTTGGTCTTCTTCTGGAACAGCTACCAAAAACACCTAAAGAAAACTCTTCCCCTTAGACTCATGTAAAAACCTACTCATCGTATCTTCAGGTGCAACCAAGATGTTAAATAAAATACATCAATAGATTCAATGAGTTCATACATTGTTTTCTGAAGGAGTCCTTTRTCTTCCAACATCTTTAGAACTTCCTGGGCTTTCTCTTGGTAAAATGATTCTCCAGAATATTCATCAAAGTGCACTCCTAGACGCTGAAAAGTTCCAAGAATATCAAAGAAGGGTAACATTGTTAAGATAGAGGTTAATGATTTTTCCTCATATTAAATCAGATGATAAGTCTGTGTCAGAGATCAGATACAGTGCAAAGATGAGTATTATTCCAGGAAATGTCACTTCATTGTTGAAAGGAAAGGACACTTGGATTTTGATTTAATAATTTTCTGCATTAGAATGGATCTCCCCCTGAGCTGAATATGGTGTTGGATATAACATCCATGAGAAATCAGGCATAAACTGGTTAGAGCAACTCGTACAGAAACTCTGAGGCAAGTCTCTAACTTGCTATACTGGAGGTGAAACCAGTGGGCTGCAGAGGAGTTACCTGGACGTGAAACCAACCCYATTTTAAAAAGATGCTAAAAGGAATTTAAAATGTAAAAGCTGCTCACAAATATTGCTGAGCATACAGAAATCATCATTACCGAAAAGGCTGAGGATACACTCATGAGAGAGACAAGATGACCTTAACTGTCAAACCTGGTCAGTTCATCAGCTCAATACTTTTTAGYTTGAATGAAATTGGGAAAGAAAGATCTAGCTGTACCAGTCATCATGTGATCAATGATAGATGACCTTCAAGACCCGGCTGCACACACAGCCCAGTGTATGTAACCTGTTTACCCTTACAGGTCAGCTCTCCACCAGAATTATCAAGTTTCTCATGTAGGAAATCTTAATTTAAGAGCCCTTTCTTGGCTCCAGTGATATGTTTCAGGGAAGAAATTAAAGCACAGCCAGGTTATCTGGATTATAAACTCCTGTTTCCCACATTTTTAAGATTAATTTTGTGGTCAGTGCCACAAACATGCCGCATGAAACAGTGGACACTGGTTCCACTCGTGAGATCACAATGTGCAACAGATGGCTGTGAATTAGCTCAACTCCACCCGCAGGGAATTCCTGCTGCTGTGATTTCTTACACTCAATTTAATATGCATTATATAGCTCTGCATTAGAACATCAGATCAGAAACATGAAAACAGAGTTATTTTCTAAAAACATTTATTACATGGRAACTGTGAAATTTGGTGGGTTGTTSCTGACTTCAAAGATAAAGCAAAACTGAGCAATATTTATCCAATAATTTGCCTTRCTGCTTATCAACACACTGAGCTTCATGACGTCTAAAAAGGGAGAATTAGTTTAAAGGCCAATTACCTGGACACCATTAAACAAAATGTATCTAGGATGTCAGCAACTGAAGTGACAGCCTGCTTGGATGAGAAATCAACTACTGTGCCTTTTCCAAACAGAATGGGGCTTTAACTGGGCATATTGAGAAAGAGCTTCCCCACAGCATTGCAAAGTTATGGGAAAGGCAATGAACTGATAACATTAGAGCAGTCTTTGATACTGAGTTCACCRCTTGGCAGTCTCCTGGATGAAAAGGTGATCAATTATATTGATGAAGCAATAGAGAAAGGGAGACCATTTTACCCATAACACAGAAAAAATATGTGGATGATTTGTACCTTATAAATCCGGATGTATTCCTCAATACTGAGGTCTCTAAATTGCTTCCAAATTGACAATGTCTGCTCATCATGTTCCTCCAGTTTTCTAAAGAAATCCTTAGCCAGCTTTTTTGTGTTTTCATCTTCTGCTGCTTTGTTAATCTGCACATACACCTAAAATATAATGACATCGAAAATGCTGAAGYAGTATAATCCTCTCCTCCAATAAACAGTTCTACAAGAACAATACAATAAAGATGACATTTTTAATGTCAAAATTTTAAAGATGTGTTAAAGCAATACATTTGCCATTTAAAGAATGAATGAATAGCCCAAAGCCCAATAGGAAAATGTGCACCTTATATTGAAAGTAGACTAATGCCCTAATTCCTTACTGCTGTCACTATCATCCTCTTCATAACCTTGAAACAACTGCAGCAGCAAAATATGAAAGGACTAATTTTCATTCCCATGAAAGGGAACCTATCATGGACTTTTAAACCACAGACTTGTCTTCAGAGGACCACAAAATTGACATTTATAGCAACTGCACTGCCAGAATTGAGATAACAGCTGAAGCAGCAAAATCCTTGATAGACTCTGTACTTTACAAGCTCATATTCATAGGAAACACTGATTTCACACAAGAGCAGAAAAAGCACCACTTTGAAACACATCTCAGTTTTTKATATAGCTAGGGTACAGGTGAACAAACACTTAAGAACTGGGAATAACTGAGAAACTAATTTGGTCTCAAACAACTACTATTTTAGAATATTTGGCATCTTGACTGAATACTGTTCTCTACACTTAAAGATAATTTTATTAAGGCCAAAGCCTACACGCTACAACAATAGATGGCATTTTAAAGATTTAGTGCAAAATTCAAGTATTAAAAATTTAAATTCTAAGAATGGACTGAAATTGTAAATAAAAATTAAGTAACACACACTGATGCACAGCCACAAAAATATGACTGCTTCTTCTTTTCTCTTTAAATCAGCCCTACAGCTCTAAAACACCTCAGTTGAGAATCTATCAATTTAAATCCACAGGGCTCAGGKACGAGGGAACAAACAAACAAAATTTACCTGTGTCAAAGATGCTGGCAAACTCAGAAGGAGCTACCCTGCTAYATAAACAATCTGACTAACATGCATTCAGCTGCTGAGTATCCAAGTATTYAAACACAGTTTGTTCCTTGGCAAGGCAACAGATTTATAGAGAAGAGTTATCCTGTGCCACGCTGCCTCAACACCAGTATTATCCATAGTTTGCACACCCAGCTCCGAGGGTGAAGCACAGCTCAGCTTTGTGATAAGAAAACAGCTGACAGTGCCACACAAGAACCCTGACTGACAAAGCACCATTAACCTGTGAAATCTTTCTTTTAGAGGATAAGGGCTTGAACATTGGCCATTCAGGAAATTTTTCCCACCTCTCCTCACRGTCATTGGACCTGTGCAGGTGAGTACATAAATCCTTATGTGTATTGCATATATGTTAACCTAGCATGGCTATCACACAAGAACATTTACAAGTACCAAAAGATMAACAAAAGGCAAATACTAACTCAGATAATATTAGGCATGTTTGAATGGAGCAAGTCAACAAACAAAATCCTATTAACCCTGGAAAGACAAATCTAGCTGGTCTTCTCTGAACTTACCTCAAAAAGGTGTTGCAAAGGACTGGATTTTAGTTTTTCTTTGTTGCCAAAGGTTTGGAAACCAACACCCAATAAGCCTTGAATAACAATTAAATATTGAGTTAGACAACCAGGGGACACTGATTTTTTTATGTCTAGTCTTTAACAATGTAACCAAAGCTTTAAATTTTAAAACAATATAATTTATGTCTCTGGACTTGTAATAGAAAATTACCTTTGACACAGCAACAAGCTGCAAGTGAGAAATCACATARTGGAAACTGTCCAGCAACAGAATATGCYCAAAACTCCTTGTTTTGCTTCCTCCCTTATTWGTAGAATCATTTCAAGGACARCAAGAACTGGGACACAATGGGGAATTCCTCATACCACTCATGGAATGTTTTCAAGGGAAATTTTTGCTGCCTGCTTAGAATATGCAGCTTTTTTCAGCATCCAATTTGGCTCCAGGACTTCCTAAAAGCCATCTAAAAGGACAAGAAATCCAAACACCAATCTTTTTGTCTAAATGAAAAGACCCCATTATCTCCTTCAGTAATGTACCAACATTAACCCATCAGTCTCTTAGATATAAACATGAGGCTGACTGTAGGGTCAGCTTATTCCTCTGAGCTGACAAGGACCAGGACTGATGTAGGAACAGATATGCAGGTATCCCTTTGGAAAACTCTCTGCAACCAAACAGATAGCACTGTCTGAAGAACTTCCCTCTTRGAATCACTGAGTTCAGAAGAAAATGTGGCAGACTTAAAGAAGAACAGGTTAGGTTTTRGGAAATAAAATTAGTAAAATTTTAATCCTACTGAAAGGGAGTTTAGCTTGTTCTACGAGCAATCAAAGCATGGTTTCCTAATGATCTGTCTTAGATATTAGTGTACCTAAACATTCCATTATTCAGTGCTAACTTCACACTCCAATCTCCAGCACAACTGTCGGTCTTTATTCAACCCAAATACATCCTTCCACACATTTTCTGTCTGTCCCAAATTGTCCCCAGACCTTGTTCCACTAACCAGTTAATGGCAAGATGCAGCACATGTTAGGACTGATTCTGACTTAGAGGTGCTGACTAGCAGGCTAAACACAAAAGTTGACTTTCTCTCCCAGAGGTCATTACATTGTATTTCTACCCTTACTCAGCTGCCAACTGTCATAATTCCAAAAAAAATTCATTCTCTTGGAGATATATTTCTTTGTCAGATGTGGCTAAAGTTGCCCAATGGGTTTAAAATTCATTAGGAGCAGAGTGACAGGAAGACAGATGGATAGATAGTCTGACAGCATAAGCTTTGTTACATTAAGAAAYCTGCCCCAAAACTGCCTAAAGGCTGAGGGCCTCTCTGCTGTGTTTCAGCAAAATATGTTTTCAATTATTATATTATAAAGCCTCTGACAATAGCAGCTGTAAAACCAGCTGACAGATCGTTAATTACAGCACTGCTTCTGAGAAAGGACCATTACAGTAATGCTGCTATGCTATAATTCTGTGAAGCACGGCTGTTATTTGCTACAATACCTGTCATATGTTTGAGCTGAGCTCAAATAAAGAGGGGAGTATCTGTCTTGAAAAAAATAGCTGGAACTACTAGGTCAAAAACATGATTCTAAGAGCTGTGTGCTGCACAAATGGCACACGTGTAAATAACAGGAAACTTTTATTAAAATACAAAGTTCCTGATATTCAGACTTCAGAGTGCTATTTAGTATCTTCAAAGGCAGACTGAATGAGGTCAGCTGAGAAGCCTTTTATCCACATAGCATTTCACTGCTTAGCTGTCATTGCCACATTAATTATACAATAGCATAGTGATAAAATTATGTCTAAGGGGCAGAAATGAACGAGATATGCAATGATGAAATTTATTAAATTTTTGGGGAACTCATTCTGTATTCAATTCTTATGAAACAAATCATAAGTGAAGCAAAGCTCTGCTATAAGCTACTGTTTCATCAGCAACAGAATCAGGAAAGACAAGCTCCAAGGGAGATAATTTAATAAAGGAAAGAATGTTCTGTTACTGCTCTCACAGTCCYAAGAATGTTATACAGCACCATAGAAAATCCAGGAATTTAGTCTAGAAGGGTAACAGGTAGAACAGAATGTATTTTAGTTAGATACACTTACAAATCTGAATATAAAAATGGAGTGAAAGTAGGGTATTTATGTTATATTTTTAACCCTGTTGATAAAATTGATTCCTTGACATCCCTATGAACAGCAGTACCACTGAAACTGGAGGGGGTAGCATAAGGGCTGGAATAAGCAAAAGTGACCACTTAACAGACATTGCACTTTGTGTTTGCCATTTAAAGATAAATAAATGGACAGTTTCCAGAGCCTACTGMAAAAAAGTAGGGATTTTTATAGTTTTCAGAGGTGTACCAGCKTTTAAGAATGAGGAAGTGGGCATGACTGCCTTTTTTTAAATGTCAAAAAAATGTGCCAAAACCAGCTTCTTGAGGGAAATTAGAAAAGGAGAGGAGAATATAGATCAATTTAAAAAACAARATTAACAACAGAAGTGAACAAAGTTGTGAACGCTATTGGATGGGTCAGCTGCTATAAAAAAGGGATAKCTATAGATCCAGCAATAGGACATAAATGACCTCTGGTCAGGGAATAAATACCAAGCCATTCATCCTCAGACTGCACTTGACAGGGTTTTTCAGTCCCCATTGATCTGATGGACATTTCAAAAGAGGTAGGGGCATCTATTTGTGTGCATACAGGACTGGTAGTCTTCCAGGAACTATTCACTTGCATGTTCTCCATCTACACACCTCTCTTTTGCTACATTTTAAGGGGAAACTGAATATTTTGGGGAGGGTGTAGGGGTATTTCTAAAGATACAAACTCTCTGGGCCCCAATGTGCCAAAATGTGGTTGTTGTGGAAATTATGTTCTATGAATAATGAGAAAAGAACAACAACAGCAACAAAACCCCAGAACCAAACAAGCAAAGAAACAAAATCCAAAACCAAACACAAACAAACAAAAAAAAACAAACCAACAAAAAATCCAACCCCAAAACAAAACATATAACCCCCAAACTACATATGTAATCTGAGAGAGCAGCTACTAAGGAACAGTTGGGTAAATTTCCTCCTGTCATTTCTCGTACATCAGAACAGGTCATACTGCTGATGAATCAGTCTGGATTTTTCAGATTTTTTAAGGAAATKAACTATACATTACACACATAGCAATGTGATCTCATTCCTTATGAGCAAAGAGTGAATCCAATGGGCCTACAAAAACTGATGCTGGAAACCCAGACCATATTATGTGTTAGAAAAGGGCACAGAATAAAAATATATTGAAACATACCAAACTGCATGCCCCAGTCACCAAGGTAATTTATTCTCACTACTTCATGTCCCAGTGCAACTTTGAGATTTGCTATAAAATTCCCTGGTAATGAAACAAAAATGATATTATTATTCAGTTGTAGGTAGTCTCTTATCCCTATAGAACAGTTTTCTSGTGTATGCACATGCATATACTGCAAAATGTAAGATCATGAAAAATCCTTTAAAGTCTTCTTATATTCTCACAAATATGTGGCATTATACATAATTCCATCACAGCCAGGCAACTTCATACCAGRTTAGGCAAGCACTCAAAATTTGCAAACTGCTGTTAACTGTGCTGTTAAAAAGGGAACATCAAGTCCTGAATCTCTATAGAAGCAATTCTGAGCTCTGCACTTAAAACATTATGCTCCAGACTTGTCAAATCACATAAGACTATCTTAGTTTCAGCTGCTATTACAACAAAAACCTTTAATCTCTCTCCTGAGCTTAGTTACAACCTTAGAGTTACAAAGAAGAAATACCCACATCTCTTCCTCTATTTTCCTGGGCTTCAAGGGTACCTTTTAATTATAATACTGTTGTAAAGGATGCAGAAGGCTCTCCATTTTTCTGTTGTTATAACACCATATTATAGCTTGTGATTACTTTAAATTCCATTCTCTACAGTTAATTAATTCTCTTACTATGGGACAAACATTAATCTACAGAACTATTTTTGAAAGCGTTCTTTTTCTGCAACAAAGGATCCAGAAATGGAACATAGAAAAGCCCGAAATATGTAATTTCATTCAACTATCTGTCCATGGAGAGGCAAATACTTTATGTAATTAATAACTATAAATGATACATTAAATATAATAAAAAACGAATACATTAGTAGATGCACAGATTTTTCAGGATCTTCTGCTATAACCTATTATTTTTTACTGTGAGTTTAAGTAATGAGGGAGAAGTAAAGTTTTCCATATACCATTAGAGCACTGCACAAGGAATTYATTAATTATTCTATTAGAAATTACAACAATTGTGTCACTAACACTGGCATAAAGTAATYAGCATATAAAAGCAGGCTTTTTGAAGGACAGATACCAAGACATAACCATCTGAACTGCTCTGCAGTCCAGTGCAAATTGAGAATTTAAAATTCAAAGGACTCTCATAACACCTCRATGAAAACTGCCTTGGGTGTCTTCGAAGACCAATTTTAAACTACTTCATTTATTATTCACAGTTGTAAAACTATATTATGTGTGACTTAATAAATCTGCCAGCAACACAGCATGTTCTTTTCTTCACTGCATAATGAGCAGAAGGGTTTTAATTAGCAGGTTGAGTCTGACATGGCTGCTCCCACCAGAGAAGTGAAAGTTAGCAGTGCTCCCCTGACAAGTGAGGCAGGAAGACAAAGCAGCCCCCCCAGGAGGCAGKGAAATGAACACTCACCTACTATGGTGGAACGTAGATGTCCAATGTGAAACTTTTTGGCAATATTAGGGGAGCTGGAACAGATTTTCACAAATAAYGTTTGTCCAGTGTACAAAACTGCCGGATCACCAAGTCAAAAGAGTCCAGCTCATGCATCTAGCAGAGCTGATATAAAACTTTCATTTTCAATTTTCCCATAAGATTTCCAAATTACCTTCTGTCCTAGATGGCAAATTTTCCTATCCAACCAGCTTTCCCACCAGTATGAGCTGACAGTGTTGTAGTTAAACCACACCACAAACTACCCCAACAACAACAAAGAAATCTAACCAAAGCCCAGCTATACTAGTGACAAAGAACTGAAAATATCTTCTCACGTTTTACACATTTTGGACATATGGATCATTCTCCTCATGTCTTTATTACAGATAAATCTGACACCAGGAGGGAAGACCTTGTGTGAAAAGATCAGTAACCAAAATTACACCTTCTCCAGCAATGCCCACCCCCACAAAGAAAACAACAAAAAACCAACTCTGTACACAATTATTTKCCCAGATAAAAACAAATTAAAGCTCAGCTATGAAAATTCATCATTCAAATGAAAGCCAAGTTCTTACTTTCCATGGCTATGGAAGTCTGCAGAGGGAATATTACTCAACAAAAATATTTATACATAAAAAATCTGAGTCAGCCACTTTTCATTCCATGAGTAGTAGACTGTCAACAAAATTGCTGGAAAAAACTGGAAAGAAATTTTAGGGGCTGCAATTGCGATGATKTAGCCAGACAAATGCCTGTCTACTTTAACAAGCCAGGAAGGAAAGTATTAAGGTGAAAAAAGAATTGGCTTAGTGGCTGGAAATTCAGATTTTGCTTTTTGATAACAAAATAAAAAGAAGCTTACTTAAAAACTGAATGCTATTATGCATTAAATGAGAATATTCTTAATGAAGGGCATTGTAAGGCATGAACTCTTTAAACATCAAAAACACATTCTGGGAAAATGCCTCAAATCCTTTAATATAATTTATATTTGACTTGGTGAATATATCAGAGTGTCAAATACAATACTATAAAAATATAAATACTATATAATACTATAAAAATATATCTTAACATCACAGGCACCACAGCAATGAATATCAACCAGAAAATATCAATCAGCAGACAAGGTAATTCTCTCAAAGGACTCCTCGCGTGTGCTTACCTGAACTCAATCACTGCCTTTTGTCTGGGAACTGCAGAGAAAAGTTCACTTTTTGCTCCATACTCTGAGCCATCTTTCCACACCTGCTGCAACACAGTCTAAAGCACAAGGAAAATAGAAAAAAAAAAGCAAAAAAAAGTTTCATCATCAGAAAACATTGCCAGGAAAAATGTTTACCAGACACACAGGAGACTGATCCCATGTTCTTTATTCACACTAGCAATTAGAAGGCTGGTCTGCCAAGCAGACAAGGTCTCATATGCAGCTGAAAATGCCACTAACTTTTGAATGCTGTATCAGATCCAATAAAAAATTTAAGAGAAATTGTAGGCAGTTTTGCTGAAAATCAGTGCTAAATTTCGGAAAATCCTTCTACTCCTTTAGTGCCAAAGGAAGCCAACTCTTCAGTCCTCATGTCCAAACACCCCTTCTTTCTCGGTCCCACCTGGAAGTCTATAAGGTCACCATGAATGATATGTACAAAAATGTGCCAGCTTTGAAAGTYTGGAGACTCTGTAAAATGCTTCAAAATAKTCCTTCAAATAACACAGTCTGTGGGAGGAGGAATCCTATGCTGAGTATTATCAGTAATGTGCTCAAAGCACCAAGTCAGTCTGGTTTCATAAACTGAAATGTCTAAGGTCACATAGGCCAATGCACTACAAACCTAATCTATAAAGCTGCATGCATTGGGCAAGCTTCCTGAAGATAACAGAAGCCTTTAAYAAAGTGAAATAAAGTGRAAATCTCACTTCATTCCGTGGAAAWTTTTCTTACTTTTCACACTTAAAAGATCACTTTAAAATGTTTCAGCAACAGCTATTAATTTAAGAAGCAGAATCTGTAAAAACCCTTTAATTCTGTTCTTATTGTGACAATTAAGAAAGCAAGCTAGACGCATACACAAAACTTACTTATAGACCTATTCTCTAATAGCCATTGGCTCATTACAAYGTATATGTATACTTCAGCCAGGATATTGAGGAATACATCTTCCCTTCAGGGTTTTCCCCCCGCCTTGATTTTTTTTTTCCACAACAGTGTCTAATGAAAGATCTGCTATCAAATACTCCTACCTCAGCTAAAAGCAACAGTATTTACAAGATCAAAACTTTTGAGCTGTAGAGTATGAAAACTCAAAGTAGATCCAACCAAGCCTGCCTTTTAAAGCAGAGACAGAGAGGAAAAAAGAGGAGTTATGATTATCAGTGAATGGTAGATTCATTGTTTCCTCACAAGAAGAAACTTTCTTGAGCCTCATTCCAAATTCTAGGTCCACATAATAAATACACAACAGGGATCCTCAGGAAAACTTGTGAAAGACAGTTTTACATAGAAAATCTTCCTAAGGCAACAGTAGGTATTCTGTAGTTCTATATTGACTTTTACCTTGAAGCACTTGAAAGACACTACTCACCTTTGCTAACAATTCTCTGTTTATTGTAAAATTCACTGTTCCTGGACCAGCGCTGATTTCACTCACTACAGAATCACATTTTAGCTAAGAGAATAAAACAAAACAGAAACTCTAAATGAAAACAGGTAAACTGGAAAGCTCTACTTCAATCCACTGTAAATACAAATTTAACCCACGGTAAAYGCTGAATGTTATTTATTGGTTTGAAGCAATCATAAATGGATCATTTCATCAATGCTATTGGAAAAGGGATGATTTTACTATTTCCCATCCATGCTTAATAGCTCTGAATGTAACTCAGCTTGAAATGTCACACATATGTTCCACTTCAGACCCTGCCTGTGCACAGTCTGTGTTTTCTTTCGATTGGGAGCAGTAGTTGAACTCTTTGTACAGACAAAAGCTGAGATAAATTTGACAACTTACACAGTAGCTGCCAGCACATAACAACAAAAAAAATTAGTGACAATGTTCTGCAGTACTTAGAGTCACAAAATAAAGATATTAAAGGACAATTTATGAAAAATTTCATTTACAATTTCCATAAGGCACATGTCTTGAAAATTCTGTACCCATAAGGCATATTTGGCCAACAAACACCTAATGTCAACACAAATTCAGGTCTCTTCACAGGCTGAGAGCTTTAGAGATCAACCTGTCAGGTTTGAGTGTCTTATTAAACTAGCTGTCTTTCATAGTCAAGAAATGGTCTAAAAAATGAAAAAGAGTGATGGAAAGCATATTAAAAAATGACACAATCCCCTTATCACTCAGTTAATACCTTTGAGAGTAAAACTAGACATTCCTACAGAAGCTCATCAGCATGAAGAGGAAATTGTAACCCCATGCTCAGTCTCCAGCTAAAAACAGYGACCTAATCAGGAAAAATCATAGCTAACCTTCAAATTCTTTAATTTTCACAAGCTCAATTCCAATGTTAACTCACAAGCTACACGAAAAAAACACTGTGTTGACACTGAACCTCCCACATCACTGTTTTACAAATGGTCCATTCCACTTTTGGGGCAGAGAGAAAACATTGGACTTTCTGCATAACATTTCTTAATGTTCTTTCTACATAATTCTTCTTTCTACATAATCTGTTATTTGACATGTCAGTAGTTTTTATCTCTGCGTGCTCGAAGACCAGTCTAAACAAGTTAAACTAAATGCATCTCCTTTATTCACTACCCACCAAAAAACATTCCTAAGAGATTATGGACTTTTTTCTTCTCTTGGTCTAGCTAGCAYGGTCAATTCAGTTTGAGAGCTTATTTGATGGTCAGTTCTTTACTGTTACAATTGCTCCTCCATGTAAGGCTGTAGGGCTAAATATCTCAGGATTATTTTGTGGAGGGAGGCAACTTGCAAATTTTTAAACACTGGGAATAGCAGCTGCTTTTAAAATGATACACACAAGGAAAAAAAAATTGTTACTGTGATGATACAGATTAAGAGGGAGGCTGTCAAACCCTTGGAGGCTTTTAACACCTGATCTGATTCCAGAAGTCCTCAGCAACCTCATCMAAACCCCCTGCACTAGCGAGGCATTTGGGAACAGAAAWCTTCCTAAGGYCCTTTCCAACCTGAATTATTTTATGGTTCAAGATCATCTTTAAGTTGTTTCAGAACTTTCGGTTGTATCTGTGTGCATTATCAGTTCTTCTTTCACCTGAGTCAGAATATTCATCTTGCTAGGACAGGTCCAASACATGGATAACTTCAATACCTCAGCAGTGAAGAATGACATGAGAAATAGTTCAGTTTCTCGGTAATATTACAATTGGTTTTATTTGTTCTTTTTTTAATCTTAACACCTCAGCTATTGCCTTTTCCCAAACTAACATACCTGGAAAAACTGCTGTCCCAAGAAAACTCAATTTCAAGCAGTTAAGGATTTGAAAGTTTGGCCTGTATGTCCCACAGGCCAACTTTTTCCATTGCCTTTCTAGAGATGGGTTTTGCAGTTTTTGGTTTTCCAAGTCATCACAAGCTCAGTTTCTTCCTCAAGTGCTGGGCAACAGCACAGACCATGGCATACCCTTTAGAGACGCACCTAACTTCACCAGACTACTTACCTCAAACTGTTTGAAAACAATTTCACAAGAACCTTAACCAAAGCTGCTTCTCCAATTCCCTGTGAAGATTCTGTGTACAATTACAGTAAGTACAGCCATCAAACTACTTTGTCCCAAACAGATGCTTGGAGAAGCAATACTTTTTACCTTATGATACTCCTTACACCTCTAGTCTGTAAGTTCATTATTGCATAAATATATGATGAATTCATGAGCATACCCTYCCAGCCAGCTGCTGAGCTTGAAGATGCAGGTCTTGTGCTAAGCAATCGCTAGAACTGTTTTCTATTACAGAAGCAATGGAGAGCTGGAAATCAGCAACATGCCTGAAAAAAAGGAACATGAAACAATGAGGAAAAAAAAACCCATTGGAATGCTGAGAAGATTTGGCAGATCCAAGCTGACTCTGCACATAACAGGTGTAATTGCTAAGCATAAGTCAGTCACAGAGATCTGAAGGCTTGCTATGGTTAGAAAGCTGCACTAGAAGGCCAAATATCACCTTTGCTCTAATACAATCAGAAAGTAGATAAGGTGAGAACACCATCTCAGAATAAACAAAAATGATGCTCTTGAATAAGTAAAATTTACTTGTTAACATTACTGCAACTCTTGGGCAGGACACTGAAAAAAACCCTTATAACTTCACATAGGCTCCAAGCAGTTTCACATTCAGATCACCAATGTTGAAGCATCAATCAGGCACTGCCTATAATTGACACATGCTTTTAAGCACTTATATTTATTTTGAGCTTGCTTGAAAAGACAGTAATTTACTCTGATTGAACTATCTTCTTATAATTGGATTGGTATATAAGGTTTGGGGTTTTCTGTATTTTCCCTCCTAAAGTCCTATTAAGCTTTTGCAACAATACACATGACATAAAATAACAAAACATGGTCAACATTGTAACATAAGATGTAAACAACTACCGTTTCTTGGAGAAGGGAACTGCAGATATCGACTTTATTAAATTTTCTGGTGGCAGATCCAAAACTTTTGAAAGCTAAATTGAAAATAAAGAACAAATTTGCTTAGGCAAAAAGACAAAGATACAAGGAAAAACACTGCTCCCCATTTAAATACCCACGGGGGATGCATCTTTTATACCTGAAATCAAATTTCACACCAGATTAAAAAAAAAAAAGCAGACTTCATAACTATTAGGAGTGATACAATAAAACACAAACCTAAGAGATGTTTTAGGACAAAAGGCAAGGCAAAACAGCACAGAGGGCTGATTTTTCTTTCCCCACGGAAGATCCCATCGAAGCCTCGCTTGCCATTACGGACTGAAGTAGTCATGGAATGACTGAATGGGTTGGACTGGTAGGGACCTTAAAGACCATCTCGTTCCAACTCCCTGCCAGGTACAGGGACACATTCTACACCAGGCCAGGCTGCTCAGAGCCCACGGACCCYGGCCTGGAACACGCAGGGATGGTCCCTTCACTCCCCTCACTCCACCCCAATCCMTGAGGGAACCCGCGCTCCCGGGAGGGGCGGGGCGGGGCGGGGAAGCGCGCGCCGAGCCCGCGGCTGCGGGTCACACCCACTGYGAGGGGCCCGGGTAGGGGGGACCCGCTGTGAGGGCACGGAGGGGACGTCTCGCTCGGGGCGCGCTCCCGCTCGGTGCCAGCAGCGGGAAGGAGCGGTGTGTACCTGGGAAGCAATGCTCCTCCGGAAGGAACCTGCTGCCATAGCCGCACCGCCCGGCGGAAGCGCCACGGCCGACCCTCACCCCCCCCGCCCCGCTCGTTTCCGCCCGCCCAGGGGCGGGCTGGGCCGTACCATTCTCAGGTTACAGGGGGAGGAGGAGGCCGGTGGTTGCGCTGGGAGCGGAGGGATCGCGCAGCGGAGCGCAGAGTGGGCTGTACCACGGCTCAGCGAAGGGGGGAGGCGGGCAGCGGCGCGGGGACGCGCAGGGAGGTGGGCGGTGCGCCGGGGACACGTGTGCGCGGTTCCTCCTCCTCCTCCTCCTCCTCCTCCTCCTCCTCCTCCTCTCCGGTAGCACCGGGCGAGGGGCGACATGAGCACGTGCTCGGTATCCAAGGTGAGGAGCGGCGGAGCGGGCGGGGGGCTCCCCGGGGAACAGCGCGGCCTGTGCGGGTGCTGAAGGAGCCGGGCCCGCSGCATCGCCCGCCGCGTCCCTCGCCTGCTGCTCTTCCCGCCTCCAGCCGCTGCCTTTCCCGCCTCCCTTGTGCCCAGCCTCCCGGTTGCCCTGTTCTGCTGCTCGCCCATTCCCAAAGCCTTGCAGTCTTTTCATCCGTGCCCGGTCTCGCTTTGCCCAAGGCGCTGTTTGTCCTCACCGCATCCCACAGAATCAGGGAATATTCTGGGTTGGAAAGGACCCACAGGGGCCATGGAATCGAGCCCTTAGCTCTGCACAGGACAGTCCTGGAGTCAGAACATTGATGAGCATCACCTTCCTGCTGTCCTCCTGGCACAATGAAACTCATTCCTACTTGGAGTAAATCTCTCCCAGAACAGAGCTAGGGGTGTTGTGGCTCTAGGTTTTGTCACTTCCAGCTGAWGTATGGTGGCGTATCTTGCTGCCACACTCATCGCTTTCTCTCCCCCCAAAACTAATTAAATAAAAAAATTGAAGTGTTGTCACCCACACGTAAGGTTAAATATCTGTTGCTGCCGTGATATTTCCGAATTGAAAGCTTAGATGTGGGCTGTGGTCGTGGCTGGCAGTAGGGACAGTTCATTCATTAGAGCATCAGTGCATAGCGAGACTTAAAATGCTGGATTGAAACATTTAACGTATTGCATCTCTTGCTTGATCATACATGGAACTAYGGCAGTGGTTCACGGCGTGTGTTTTATCATCACAGGAAGACTCCTGCCCCTTCYATTGTTTTTTGCTGAGTTGTGATGTGCAGCTGCATCCTTTGGTGTGGAAGGCGCTGTGCAGGTTATTACTTCCAGGAGTGAAGTGCTTCCAAACAAATTTAAAACTTAATCCAAAACAGCTGGATTTCAYTTTTGACAATGGCTGTTGCTTGATAGCTTGGTAGTGAATCATGTCCTCTCACCTTTCCTCCAACRTCTTATATTTGATTCTTCTTTGCARTTTTATACTCTGGTCTCAGCTATATTCAGTGGAGTAGGAAAAGCCAATACTTGCAAAGCATTCAGWAGTATTTTTGTTTGGTTTGATTGCATATTCTTCTTTTGTGTATATGATTTATAGTCACTGTGGCAAATTCCATTCATGCATGCAGCAGCACGTAAATCTGTAGATAGCTTTTTGCAGTGGAATTGTTCCAGGGTGTTTAGCACCTGTGGAATAACCACAGCTTTCGTCCAGCTCGTTTTAAATGGTCCTTAATGGATACATGGTAAAATGGAATGTGGCTGAAGGCATCTCYAGTTCATGAGGCTGTTTTTCAAATAAGGTGAATACAAATTTTGGTGTATTACTGCAATTTCTTATTTATATAAGAAAAGAAATGACATGTCTGAAGTCACTTGAAAGACTGGTGACTGTGATCAATATGGAACACACCTCTGGTGCTTGATTCTCACTACATCATTCTTATTCTTACTACATCTTCTTACTCTAGTGGCTGAACTGTCCTAGGTTGAATTCAGTAATCCTTGCTTGTGTAAGCATCTCCATTGAGAAACAGAGAATTGAATCAGTCTGTATTTATTTCCAACACTTTAGGTGTTTTCTTCCCCCTTGCTGCAGCACAAGAACCTCACTGTGAGAGTCTGGAAATGCAAGTGATTTCTGATCTATGAGAAATCTTTATAACTCTTCAGAAGAGATGAGCTTCTGTGGAGAGGTTGGAAGAAATTTCAGATTGTATAGAAGAAAAAGAAAAAAATCTTCAAGAATTCAAAGTTTAATATTTGTGCGATGAAATAGGTCTTACTGGGAGATGACTTCTCTCTACAAAAATTCTTTGGAACAGGGGGTTTGATATGAACCTTTTCACAACCATTTATCATTCTGCTTCTAACCATCTACTTTTTTGAGCTGGGATGCAGTTCACTGTAGCGTGGGCATGTAATTTCCTTTTACAAGTGACTTAAYAATACTCATTGCATTATTCTGGATTGTGTTTTCCAATCATCTCAGCCTCTTGCCTTTTGTTTTGTTTTTTGTTTAACAGAAACTGTACTGAGAAAACACTATTGATTTGTCCCCAGGGAATAATTTCTTTTTAATTCTAAACCTGTTGGAGGTTTTGAGATAGTTAAAGAATCTACTGCTGTTCCAGTTGATGGCTGAGTTGCGAAACATAGTGGAAAAATGAAAAAAATTCCTAACAAGTGTGCTGGGTTACTGCTTCCACTAGTGCTCCAGCTTGAAATATAAAGGGGCAATATGTAACTTGATATTGTTAAGAGGCTGGCAATTCAGTTCAAATTATTGCTTTAATGGAGCACTGAAATAAAAGGATAATAAAGTGGCCTCAGGAGCCAGTCATATTGAAGTCTTTCTGGGTTTTTTTTTTTGCTATTCTCTAGGGCTGCTTTGTTTTTAAACCAGATACCAAGAAGAGAAGATTGTCTGAGAAAACAGGTTAGTGCATTTTAATTTATGTTTCTGTGTTTGAGAAGGGCTAATCCTGAAAGGTTCATCACRTCTGATTGAGTTCATGTGATGAGTTCTGTCATAGCTATGTGAGGTTTTCTATGGCTCCCTGATTGCTGAGAACTCACTTCTTTAAAGGAAAGCAGACAAATGGCTAGAGAAAATGCTGGGCTTTTTTCATCTCCAGCAATCAAGRTAGTATAGCCATCTTTGTCTTTGCACTTTTTTTTTTTTTTACAAGAGAACTCCTCACCATGCTACCATAAGTTCTTTACTGACAAACTATTCATCTGAAGAGTCTGAATGAGTCCCTTTTAAGCTGTGGGAGTCAGGAATTCTATCCCATTCTTGAGTCTCACATTCTGGGTAGTTTGCCTAAGTTTCTTGTGGAAAAGAASGAAGAAAAGCCATTTGTGGCTTCTGTCCACTAGTATTTACTATATACATTTTCTCTACATGCGTGTGCAGCTCTGTTGTCATTTGACTCTTGTTGGAACCACAGATAATCCTTTATAATTACTGTTTGAGACTCAGTTGGGAAACTTATCATTCTTATTCCCACGTTAAACTACTTTTATCATGACTGGAGCTGTCAAAAGGTGTGACAATTTGTATGGAAAAGGTGGAGGGGAAAGTAATGAGGTCAGATTTTTGCAGTTTCAAGTTATGGCAACAACCAGGGCCTATGCACTTAAATGGCATTGAAATTTTATCCCTTACTGGATATTATATTTTTGTTTTGCAAAATCAGAARTGGTTTGGTAAACCACTAAGCATATGGTTCTAGCTGGCAAATGATTTGAGGTAGAAAAATAAATTTGACTGGACTAGCCCTAAAAGGGAGAGGCAGAGATGAGCTGGTTTGGCTTTTCACAGCAGTTGGTTAGTGTTGTTCTAAAACAATACTTCGATGTGCATCTGTCCAGTCCTGCCCATTGTGAAATTTTAGTTGTGAAACTCCACAGCATCAATAGTTGATAATGCTGTCACACTCCACAAAAGGTCTTCTGAGGACATTTGCACCTATAGTTTTTGAGTTTTGGAAGTGAAAAAAGGTTATTATGCCTTAGTATATTACCAATAATGTGGTGGCTGGATTTTTGTCAACTAAAAGTCTGACCTATACGATCAGAGTTGGTTATGTACCCTGAGTGATTTTTCTTAGGGACACAAATGAGGTGATAATTAGGGTAGACAATGACAATGGAGGTGGAAGGATGTCTCTCATTTGTCATTTGCAGCCCTGTTTTGGGTCGGTTTAGTGCTTTAGGAGATTATGCTCATCARCTGGCTCTTTTCTAGAGATCAAACCACTGCTGGTTCTCCACTGGCAACCAAGTGGACCCACAAAACTTTCTGAAGCAAGAGAAAGATACTTTTTTTTGTTACTGTTTTTTATATTATTTTAAAAATTAAGGCTGTTTGCTCTGATTTAGTCTTTCTTTAGCTTGTCTGGGGCTTGAGATAGAAGCTTCTTTACCTTTTGCCTGGACTATAGATTCTGCTTCTTCCCTTGCTGCTTCTACCAAATACCAGCAATTAATTAGTTGCTTAACAGAAAAGTCATCTCTRTGAAATATATATGTACAGTTGGGTCCTATGTTTTATTCCTGAGAAAAAAAAAGATGTTTTGTTTTCATGAGCTTATTTGTGCTTTTTGTTACTTTCTGTGTTTCCAGCTCATGATTTCAGAAGGAAAAGTGATGATTCAGAGGATACTGAGTTACGGTTTATCACTTGTCAGTCTTTATGGAACCAAATCAAATCAGAAACAGAGGTGAGTCTTAGCCTCACACTGAAGTGGTGTTTTGCRTTTACAACAATGCTGCTTGCTTCTTTGTTTCTGGGGATCTTTTTGACATGCTTCAAAGTGCTTGCAGTTAGTTAAAGCAATRGAAGAGCCAGAAATACTGACTGTGCAGAATATAAAATAGTGATAATAAATCCATCAAGTACACTTTACTTGTAACCACAGAACTACACACTTTGGATGCTTCAACTTGCTGCTTCTGAGCTTTTTCTTCCTACTAGTTGTCTTTTTTATTAGCTCTTGGCGTACTGCTGTTTTCTGCCTTGAATTCAGTTAATACTTGCCAGCCCTCAGAGGATTTTAGGCTGGTCTTGACCTCAGTGTTCCAGAGTTCGTACACAGCAGCCCAGGATTCACAGTGGATTTATATGAACACAACTGCATGGATGTCAAATA